CGCTAACCTCTTTATTCTTCTAACCTTCTAAGTGCAATTTTTTGAATCTCGTTTGATTTATCATGTTTAGTCAATGAGAGAAGGCCAACGTTTTTCAATTTTGTGCGTGTGTGCATGTATCATCAATATGGCAATTTTTCGAGTTTCATCAATAGATTTATACAACCATAATAAAACTAATATGCTTTGAATGCTTAATGTATGCTTAAGGTATGCATAATTTTTTTTTTTTGGATAAAAGGTGATTTTATTTATCCAAAAATACTTACAACATATAGTAGCACAAGAGCTACTACAAGAGAGAAGAGGCTAGGAAAAATACACAATAGTTAATACACATTCTACTATTACCCAGAAACTAATCTATCACAACAGTTTCAAGTCCCCATTGAATTGCAATAGCCATAGGAAGTGATGAAGACCTTGGGTGAGCAAACTCCAACATTTTAGCTCTAACCTAAAATTGAATCTCATGAAGGATTGTACTCTCACTTCTAAAGAGCTGTAGATGAACTCTTTTGTTTCTTTCCATCCAAATGTTGTAGACTATGGCATTCCATAAGAGTTTGATCAAAATGCTAAGCAAATATTTTCTTCTGACCCTTTTTCCCATCCAATGTAATAAGTCTTGCCAAGAGTCCACAAAGGGAATATTGATCATAGTACTAATCTGCCTCCATATTGTGTTAGCATAACTGCACAACTGCACTTAAAGAACAAGTGATCGGAAGTTTCTGAGTTATTATTGCATAGGATACAAGTATCCAAGATGGTAGGGGTCCATTGCTTCTATCTAGCCTTTGTAGTCAATCTATTAAGTATGGCTAGCCAACCTATGAAGCTATGCTTAAGGATAGCATAAGGAAACCAAACAAGTTTATGCCATACCTTCCTGTGCGGCTTATTTCTCAACCAATGCCAAGTCTAACTAGTTTGGAAAGATCTAGAAGGGGAGGTCAACCAAATAACTGAATCATTTTCACCCTCCCTAGGATGAATATCAAAAAGAGGTATTTGGATTTCCACCAATTGGGGAGATCTAGCAGGAGGCCAATTCCAAAATCTACCACTTATAACACTGGCTAGTTTAGCTTGGGAAGGTATCCCTGCATCATGAACAATAGAGTTTCCATAAACTTCTAATAGTGGGCCAGCAGGGTGCTAATTATCGTGCTAGAGATAAGTGTTCTGACCATTCCTTGGTCTGTGTTGGATTAGCCTTCTAGCTAATGGCCTTAGTTTTAAAATTTTCCTCCATCCCCAAGAAGCATCAGAAGGAATGTTAATGGACCAAAAGCTTCTGCCCTTGAGTAAGTTTTCCT